ATTATTTGTCTTGATTTCCTTTTTGATTTTAAGGCACTTTATCTCTTGCCTAAACTGGTATTCTTCTTCTTTCTTAATAACAACTGTATCCGCTATTCTTATCTCCTTCACTGAAATAATTGATGAATAGGCTTTATTTTTTGTTTTCATCTGCACGAATCTTTTTATGTATGCTATTATACGTATAAGTTTTTCTATACTGGAATACCTTTCTATTAATTCGTAAATCGGATCATCTATTTTGTCATTTAATACCGTATTTATTAAGACAGGTTCTTCTACAGACTGCTGCCGAGGCCAAAGTTCTTTTGGGTCGGCTAGCCATTTCGGACCTTTCCACCAAAAATCACAGTTGATCAACTGGTTAGAATCCACTCCCCTGGATGCTAAATCTGCTGGATTATCCTCTGACTTACATGATTCCATTCATTATTTTTTAATTTCCGAAAGTAATCCGTTCTTCTTCTTATAAATTTGATCTTACTTTGACCACTGTTAATCCATGCTAAGGTAATCGTGGAATCACTCCAAGCATAGATCTCCATTATATTGTCAATTGATCCTTTTAGTCTTTGGATTAATTCACTAAGCAGGTGAGCTGCACACAGCTCGAGTTTGATTCCCAATCAATTCCTATTTCTATTTCCTAATTCCTCTAATTCCTGTTCCTATTTTTTATAGGGTTGACTCTACTTTTGCTAGCTATTATATTAACATGAGGTCCTACTTTAGCATAGACTACTGCAGCATATGCTTTTTCGGAGGCGTCCGCAAATCCGTGAATCTGAATGACTGAAGAACTGTTTGAATTAATCCACCTTGGGATTCGAATATTCTCTAACAATAATAAATTTTCTTTATATTTTTCCCAATAATTTGTATCTTCTATGGATAATTCCTGATCCCATTCACTTTTATTTATCCAAAGTTTTTGAATAAAAAGTTTTCCTGAAACAGTGACTGGTGCCAACCATCCTAACGGATCAAATATTTTTGCTAGCATTGATAACACAACGCGCTTATTTATATTTTTTAATTCATTACAATTTACGCTGAATTTAAATAAGTCATTTTGAGGTTCCCATTTTAGTCCTAAAGTTTTAACATATTCATTTTCGATAATATTGAGAACCTTATTGTCCCCTGTGTCCTCCACAGTGGTTAATATTTTGGAATTGTTGGAAATCCATTTCCTTAAGTTGAATCCAACTTTCTGCAATTCATGGGAAATTAATGTTATTAATTTATTAGCTTCTTCTACCGAATCAGCTCCAGTCATTAGGTCATCCATATAGAATTCATTCCTAATTATTGCACTAATAACTTGGTTTTTACATTTATCTGCAATATCTACCAGAACCCTGGTAGCCAAATATGGTGCAGATGCAGTTCCGTAAGTGACTGTGGTTAATTTAAATGTTTTAATTTTTTCTTTTGGAGAATTTCTCCATAAAATATATTGATATTTTTGATCATTATTATCTATTTTAATTTGTCGGTACATCTATTCAATGTCTGCCGAAACCACAAATTCCCATTTTCTCCATTTAATAATTATGTCAAAAATATCTTTTTGAACTCGTGGCCCAACCCACATTATGTCGTTCAAACTTTTGTTATTCGTAGTTTTTGCTGAAGCATCAAAAACTACTCTCAATTTGGTCGTAAGGCTGAATCTCTAATCACTGCCTGGTGCGGTAAAAAATATTTGCCTTCATCACTCACTTCAATCATGTGTCCTAAATCCATGTATTCATTCATGAATTTAGTGTAGTCAACCTTAAGTTTTTCATTTCTTTTTAGTTTTTTCTCCAGATTCATGTAACGAGCTATCGCTTGTTTCTTTGAATCTCCTAAGGTGACATCCTCCTTGAATGGAATTGACACAATGTATCGCCCATCTGAATCTTTTCTTGTCGTTTTGATAAATTTATTTTCACAGAATTCAAACTCGATATCATCTTTTTCTTCTTCTTCCACTTCCCAGTAGCGATCTAAATCTTTTATTTCTATTGTTGTGGCTGCAATGGTTTCTTTTCCTTTGGATTTTTTACATCCAGAAACTATCCACCCGAAATCAGTTTTTTGCCCAAGGAGACCATCTATTTTTATAACTCCATTTTGCAGAATGTGAGTATATACGTCTGCTCCAATGATTAAATCAATACGACCTCGGGGTCGGCTAATTTAAAGTTCTTCCATTTTTTCTGATCAACATTAATTGTGTTGACTGGAAGTGCCTTCATAAGCTTTGGGACAATAAGTGCTTCAATTTCTTAATTTTTCGGAGAATTTCTTATCGAAATAACCGCTTTGTGCTTGGAGATGCACGTTCCTGTGGAAGATACTCCACTTATTTCAGTATGAGACCGAAATTTTTTCAATTTTAGAATCTGTGCAGACTCTTCTGAAATGATTGTGCTTTGAGAGCCACTATCAATCAATGCTCTTAATTGTTCAAAGCCTCCATACCTCGACTTTACTTGAATCAAGGCCGTGGCCAACAAGGCTGGTCTGTTGTTCTACACGTATTCACTTTTTCTGGATTATGACCTGCAAAAGTGAAGTAAAGTAAAGGTGAGGTTTACGACAAGTCGAACAAAGCTGCTCGCTTATACATTTTTTACCAAACGGATGCCTCAGACATCTTAGGCAAATCCCATTTTTTCTTACCCAGTCAGACCGTTCTGCTGGATTCATTATTTTAAATTTATGGCATTGAATTAAATAATGCCCTGGTAGTTTGCAATATGCACAATTGTCACTATAATTTTTATTCTTGTTATTATTAATCATTTTCTTTACAGGTTTTACTTCCTCTGAAAATGAGGATATAGAATTGAGTCTTTGCTCTAAAAAGTCCATGACATCAGAAAGTGCCTGTATTTCTTTTGTCTTTTTAATATGGCTTTCATATAAATTGAGTGATTCTTTATTGAATTTCCGAAGAATTATGTGAGCGAAAATTGCATCCACATCTTCTGGTAATTGTGCCTTTAATTTTATGATATAAATTGACTCGTTAATCGTGTCAATAAATGTCTTTATTTGCTTATTGGATTCCAAATTTAAATTTGGCATATCCATAAGTCTATTCATATGATGTGAGAATATGTTTCTTTTATTCTCATACCGCTTGGTCAAAAACTCCCAAGTGGCTTCATAATTTTCTCCAGAGCCGAGCAGTAAATGAGTAACCACATTTCTGGCTTCTCCTTTTAATGTTGACTTTAGATAATTAAATTTGAGAGAAGGACTGAGATCCTCTCTCACATGTATGAGCTCTGTAAAGAGTTCAATAAAAAGATCACATTCTTTGGAATCACCAAAGAAAGTGGGTATCTGTATTTTAGGCAGGGTTGGTAACTCCTCCGCCTTAACAACCGTCGACATTTCAGCTTTATTTATTGTGCCACTGATTGGTTGATTTAGGGACAGTGTTTGATTTAGGGAAAGTGTTTTCTACCGACTCGCTTTTAATTTTTTCATTTCTATTTTTAATTTTTTCTAACACCATCATTATTAAATCATACTGCTTCGTGTTAAAATATTCATGATCGACAACGCCGATCTTCAACAAATTGCTATGATTAGCAATGAAACATTTTTGAAGCTCATTTAAATTTAGAATTTCTACATCTGTTAATGTTGGTTTTACTTCCAACTTTCTAATTTCCAAAATAATTTCGGACTGCTTCTTAAGGAATTGAATAGTCTTTTCTGACATCATTTTGAAAATTTTTTTTTTTTAGATGGGCTTGATTTTATTGTAAGTTCTTAATATATATAGTACGTGTGTATGTATTGTATATGTATTTATATATATGTGTGTTTGTATAAACAGAAAATTCTTGTTTTGACTTAGCTGATGTCGTCGTTGTTGCTGCTGCTGTCGTTGTTGCTGCTGTTGCTACTGCTGTTGTTGCTGCTTCTGCTGCTGGTAGAGGCTCCTTTGAATTTGATTTCCTTCTCTTCTTTAAGGCTCCGTTGACGTCGATGTTTAAAGATGATTTTTTTTTTTTTTTTTTTTTTTTATCACGTTTTATTATTTTTGTAGTCCAGTCAGATTTTTTGTTTTTTAGCCATTTATTTCGGCATTTATGCTCTTTTGGCATATACACTGCACTCTATTTATGAGCTGATTTAATGCTATTAGAGCATTTATAAGGCACTGTTTTCATGCACTTTTTATTTAATTTATGCTCTTTTTATTTTCACAATTGCTGATGTATGGCCTCAAGCACGCCTTACCACAATTTATAATGGTACACAAAGCAACCTTTAGCTATAGACTATAAGGTGCTTGTTTTATTTAAAACATAAAAGATTCTTTTGTATATTTTTGCTTTTTATATTTATACTCTGTTCCTTACCTTTGGTAGGGGGAAACAAGAGTCAATTATTTTTGGTACCTTTAGCTGCAAGATTAACTTAGCAATGCTTAAAGGAGCTGGCCTTTCTCTGAGTCCCTTACCATATAGGGGGAAACTGCAGAGTCGATTTAAGGCTCTATTGACCAAATGTAATATCCCAAATGAGAAGACTCTACTCGTTGCGTTTTTGTAAGAAACTGATTTTATTCGGAAATATCTTCGGTTTAAATAGGTGACATGAGAATCGCATCTTAGAGTAAATGGCCTACGCAGAGGCCTAAGTAGGTAGTCCCCGTCTTATCGAGGTCCCACGCTCCGGCACATCTGCCTATCTTGAGCGGCGAGGACCTTATCTGTGGTCTCCCACTAAGGGACTATTTTAGGAGGCGGGGAACGATCTCAAGTGACTGACTCAGGTAGTGTGCACTTAGATTACATGTTTTTGAGCACTGCACCCATGTCGCCTTAGATAAGAAAATCCTAAATATAAATTATCGCTCTCGATTCATTTACATAAGATATGAACGGAGCCCAAAATTGTAAGTCTTTAAATATATTCGTGTTCATGTGTGAACATCAGTTTTTACAGACCGATGAAGTTTTAGATAGACGCTGGTTGAAATAAGCTGTAAGCCACTGTACTTAGTCCATTTTTAGTTGTTCCATTTTTGACGATTTTTAAAATTCATCACATTTAATTCCAATTTCGACAAGGTTATTAACGCTATTTGAACGCATGTTTTTAGGAAACTAATGTGCATTTGATGTATTCTACAATAACCAAAGAATGTACAATAAAAGTTCGTTTTAATGCTCTATTATTTGGCTCTGAGTTATACGCATACGTTTCAAACAATTTTCAGAATTATTTATTTTTATACATCTGAGAACATAAAACTAACTACCCAAATCCATAAGCACTTGTAAATAAAAAGACTTGAAGAAAAAGTCGAACAAGGTAATATTCTAATATATACAATTCAATCAATAAATCAGTTTAAACCCTGAGCTGTGTAATTTTGTAATACGCAACCGAAATTACTTCTTTGAACAACTAAAAATGTTTTAAAAACAAATTAAAAACAAATTAAATACGCTGCGAGGGAAACAATGCCATAAGGTACAGTAAGCAGAAAAAATTGCCCTATATTTTGCATAGACTAAAAGACTTTAAAATACATATGTACGTGCAATTATGTTTGTATACAGCTTAATGCAATGAGGTTATTATCTTTTCCAAATTTATATTTAACAAGAACAAACGGTCTTGAATAAATGTATTGTTCACCTTCGCGTTCCTGATGATCCTCGTGAAAAAGGTGGATTTACCAGCTATATTCCCGTTTCAACTCGGCAATAACTAAAAGCATTCGGATTCCTGCCTCAGAACAGCCTCAATATCTTGATCCAGGAGTGCCCAGTTGGAAGTATGTACATGTACAATTTACCATTCCATTAAGCTGGGCATGAATAAAGAATATTTCTTTTGCAATCATTCTGAAAGCTGTCCACTACGCACAAGCATATCCTGGAATGCTGCTGCACGTTTTCCAAAAAAAGAATTTCAGTATATATTTTTGCACAGCTTCAATAAACGTTTCTTACGAATGAGTCTATTTATTTTCATTAATAAGCTATACGGAATTATTCAACCACAAATTTAAAAAATTGTAGCTTCAGGGTTACGTTAACGGAAAAATAATTCACACTTCTTGTTAAAGGAACGCATTGATTGACACCTTATATTTAAAACCTATAAATCGATATAAGAAACATTAGTTCTGCCACTTTTGGTGAGTCTACTGCCATAGCTTTTGAACACCTGATGCAAGAGACTTGTGTTATCGACAGAAAGGCAAATATTGTGTTTGGCTTCAAACAACATTATAGAAAACTAATGTATGTAACTGTATTTCACATTTTGGTTGAACACGACTAAAATTTTAAAGTTCAAATTTGACCCTTTTAGTTTTCTATTTGGCGCGATGGCGACATCGGAAATTAACTTGCTCTGAGGGTTAGTCTCTGGAATCTGCATGCCTCATCTCAGCTTTCTAGCTATTATACTTCCTGAGATCGAGGCGTTCATACGGACAGACCAAAGACACTAGAATAATAAGATGCGTAACGGCCATACATTGGTTTTGCACTATGCAGCCACTTTTTTGGTGGCGGCAATAATTGCTCTCTCCCCGCTTGCATAAAATTGAGAGCATAATAATCTAAAAATAGAATTCACTTGCTTGTGTGAGTGAAAACAGTAAGCAAAAAAGTGTGCATGTGTGCGTAGTTGTGCTAGAAGACGATTTTCGGTCCAAAATCAATTTTGACCTAAGAAACGAATTTGATTAATGTTTTGGTCAATTTCGTTGTAATATGATCTAATAAAATATTATTAAAAAATTGAAGCCGTGATTATTATTTTTTTTAAGAAGTTATTTTAATATTCGTTAGTTAAAATCGCCTCTCGAATTAGCTACCGTTTACAACTGAACTTTACATATAAACTTTTATTGAATATAAATACGGATATACATATGTATTACTAAAATTTAGAAAAATAATAGAAAACTGTGAGTTCTGTCTAATTGTCAAAATTTTATATGCAACCTGTTTATTGCAAAATTTAATTCTTGAGGCAGGACCAGCGCACCTATGAATCCCTAACTTCAAATATATTTTCCACGTCGCGAACTGAATACTCTAACGACATATATTCTAGTATAAAGCAATTTCTGAAATTAATTAGGTATTATTATGTACATTTATTCACCCATTATATTATGATTTATTTAAATATTTATCATGTTAAGACAATGCAAAATTAAAGTTTTTTATTTGGTGGCAATCGAGTACAATTAATATAGATTGAAAGTCCATAAACTTCTGAAGTGAAGGGCATATTTTGTCCAATTTGCAATATATGAGCATACGTGTGCACACATACAGTGATCGGCTGTCGCTATATGCGTACAAGAGTCCTTAGAGTCTCTCTGGCTGTTGAACAAAAATTCGAGAGAGCCTGGAGCCAGCTCTAGAGCCAGCACGAAGAAATTGTGTGCAAAAAAATCGTATGGCGTTACGCATCTTATTATTCTAGCGTCTTTGGACAGACTGACATGGTCACATATACTCGGCTAGTGATCCTAATCCTCATATACATATATACTTTTATACATCTTCCTGTTTCACGGTTTTCAACGAATCTAGTGTACTATTTTACGCTATGAGTAACGGCTATAACTTTGTGTGCAGAACAATAACACTTTATGATAATAAACCACGAAACTTTTCTTCAATTAATTTTCAGACTGATATGGCATCTATATGATATAGTCGACCGATTTTGATTAAACAACCCCAAAAATATATATAATAAAACTCCACATGTACACGTATACCAAACAAAACTGATTTTGCAATTGAATTTTACTGAATTCCTATGGCTTGATATTTATATTATATTTCATTAAAATATATATTTCAAGTGCTATCTATACCTACTAAACCTATTTTATGTATACGGTTGATTTCCCAGAAACGATTTTTTTTAACTTCCGAAATTCTGATATCTATGATATCTAATTCAGATCCAGAAACTATTTGAGCAATTAATGTTGTTATACAAATATTTGAAATATGCTAAATAACATATATATTTCTTAGAAGAATAATGGCTGTAAGAATCGTGAAGGATGCCATTTCCGAACACATGTTTGGTTTTAGTCGCCATCATGGGACCCCAGAGCAAGTGCCATCGAGTTGGCTAGCACATCTTGAATGTATTTAAAAACAAGCACTACTGTTTCAAGCACTACAATTTCTCCTCCTGATATCTTACCTCCTTAATCGAAGCGTTATTGTCTGTGTGAGAAGGTCAAATATCAGAAGTGTTCGTGATGGCGTTCTTCAGGGAAGTGTGGTCGGTCCCGTGTTGCATACTCTGTTCACTTCAGATCTGCCGTGTCTTAATGTACCGGCCACGACTTTGGCAACCTATGCTGATGACACGGCCTTCCTGGCGAACTTTTCCTTTCCAATCGAAGCGTCTAGGCTCACCGATGAATTTCTGGACTCGTACGGCAAGTGGTCAAACAGATGGAACATTTTTATAAATGGAAACACGTCGCAACAATGTCACTTTCTATTGAGAGGACAGATCCTTCATAATGTTGAGCTTTGCGACATCATTTTCCCAGTCTTCCCAGGTGCAGTACCTGGAATTTGATCCTGGACAAATGGTTCAGCTGGAAATAGCACTAAAATAGCACATGTGCTAAGCTTGGGAAGCTCAACTGCCTTGGCAACAAAGTGTTGATATTCAAATCGATTGTAATGCTGTCAATTACTATACTTCATCCAAATATGGGAGAATTCTTCAGACTCAAATGTAATGAAAGTGCAAAGGTTTAAAGCCGGGCGCTGCGCATTATTGCAAATGCGGATTGGTACATCAGAAACGACCTAGCAATGACCTCCATATTCCTTCTGTCATACAACGAAAGTCTCAAAGCTCACATCAACCACCTGGCAGCCACCTTGGCTAATACGATGACCAGAAGAAGGCTTAAACGAAGACACCCTGGCGATCTCTGGACAAAAAGACGAAATGTCACTAAAGTACAGAAACAGTAATTGTTTTTAAATCAATTGTTATAAAAATTGTTTTCTCTGTTATGTTACACTACAAAATAGCTTAATAAAGGAAACATTAGGTTTTCGAATTTTTTAAGAAACCCGCTAGATTATCAGCTATTAATAGGTACATTTCTTATGCTTATTATTTCTAAACATCTAAAGGATTTATAAATTCTATATTTCTGTATATTTGCATACATTATTTGATAAACATAAACACAGCAACTTTGCATACACCACTTAAAAACGGTAGGAATTTTGACCCCGCTTGCTTCGTTTTCTTATCATAAGCCGTCCGTTCCATCCGTTTTCAGAATGATCCAACATTATTAGCCTAAAAATTCTTTTATTTCCGAGGGTTATTAACTGTTTAATGTTAGATTTATATAAGTCTTTAACATAAGGGGAGTACCCAGGATGTACTTGTATAGGGGTTAAATTTATAATTTAATGTTGGGTGAGGTCAAGAGTGAGGTCGTATGCATTGGTGGCTACTGTGAGGTTACGGGAGGGTATGATTGGGAGGTCTGCTGTGAACAAGGTGTCGAGAATGGGTCCAAGGACGCTGCCTTGAGGTACTCCGGCTTGTATGGGCCTTGGCGTGCTGGTTTTGATTAACCGCATCGCACTTGAAACTCTCTTCCTTCCGTGTATGATTAGAGGGGGACGATGTGGGAACTGGGAAGATGGGACTTAGGCTTGGATAGGAGTCCAGGGTGCCACACTTTGTGAAATGCCTGTTTGACAACCAGGAAGACGGCACAACAGTATTGCTTGTTTTCGAAAGCGTCCAGAATGCGTGCTACGAGCCGGTGGCATTGCTCTGGTGTTCCATGGGAGCGCCTGAAGCCAAACTGGTGATGAGGGATGTCGATTATGAAAAAAATAATAGAATAATAGAATAGAATAAAAATAATAGAATGAAAAAAAAATTAAAACTGGGGTGCCAGTTTTGTCCGATTTGTGAGTGTTAGAGTAGGCGTGGTAACATAATTAAACAAACTTGCGATGCTTTTATGTCTCTGGAATCTGCATGCCCATCTAAACTTTCCAGCTTTTATAGTGCCTGAGATCTCGATATTCTTACGGACGGTTGGACGAATAGACAAACGGACAAGGCCGGCTCGACTTGGCTATTGAGCCTCATCAGGAATACATATACTCTTTTTGGTCGGAAAGGATTCCTTCTTCATGTTGCTCCTTTTTCGATATATATACATATGACTACGGGTGTAAAATATACCTTTCTCAGCCTACGCTTGGAGTAGACTTCACATCATGAGTACGAATATATTTCAAACATTAAAATAAGAAGTAACGCAGTAACGTTAAAAAAATATTAATCATTAACCGCGAACATATAACGCGCAAGGGTTATGTTCCTCTCATGTTCATGTTTCTCTAAAGAGGATTTGCAGTTAGAAAAATACGCCGATAATTACTATTTGCTCTAACAGAACGGATAACAGGATTTGCCGCAGT